AAAAAAAATTTTGAGGCCAAAAAATAAAAAAAAAATAAAAAATTTTTTTTTTTAAAAAAAATTGTGGGGGGTCCTGGACCCCCCTCCCCTCCGCCCCTGATAAGAACATACCACCTTGGAATATTTTGCATCCAACACGAAGAAGCAATATACAATGAGCTTGGAGTCAGTTATATAATCATTTTCTCCAATCTATTCAATCCAAGGCCAGCCAAACTCATCAGTCCAATAATACCTAATCGTTTGCAATCAGGAAACGTTAGTTTCTTCTCTCTCTCCTTATTCTACTGGTATAGCATTGCCTTTGTGAACAATCTCCATCCATGTAGTCCTTATTATAATTTTTCTGAAATCGATATTCGATTCCACCTCCATGTGTTATCATTTAGTTTCATCTCCTTTATTCATTCTAGCACCTACATTTTGCTATGTTCATGTCTTGGGCAATTTCTTTCCTATAATGGACGTAACACTTGATACTATAAAACTTGGACTTTTAAATAGTCATTCAATAAAACTTGCTTGGACATGTATCAACTGAAAAGGCCAACTTCTATAGTGCTTCTCCATTAAATCTGATCCCCATTTATTCTAAGCATGATATACACTTCCTCCTTCACGTTAATGATCGAATCTAAATAACAAAATAACTACTATTTAGGACCATACGATCTTCTATTTTTCCATCATTATCATCATATACTCATTACGACTATAATAGCACTCCTTGAACTCCATTTGAACTCAATGCTTCTTCAAAATTTTGACTTGTAATCTCACCCACACTTCATCCCATGAAACAAGAAGTATAGCATGAGTGAATAGAAGCACGATAAAGGACCTCATCTTGGATACGTCAAAACCCTGATCACTGGAAGCTAACTTTTATCACATTGATCAATGAAGAAAAAGTTTCTTCATGAGAAAAGCTTTACAATCTGACAATATCAATCTTGCGTTAAATACTACACAAATTGCTCCCATTTTATCCCATGTAATTTCGTTTATGAAAATGTCACTCTTATTTTCTTACTCATATACAGTTAAACCCATATTTATTGAGAAGACTTGAGTCTTTTGGTATTTCCTGGTGCATATGCATTAATCAAATTACACACTGAGCAATTTTTTGCAAAATTTTTTGTACATTTTGTGCCATAATATAACAAAAGTTCAAGAGGCTTCAGACCCTAAACTACAAAAAGTCATTCTGACTGCTTATTAAAAGTATTAACCGTTCTCAAATTAATTATCAATGTTACTAAAGAAGCTCTGGCCCTAAGCTAAATAAACTTGAACCTGAATGCCACTCGAACAAATGAAAATCAACTAAAGTAAAATGGTGCTGATTGTTTACCTTAGCTACGAGAACTTCACTCAGCCGCGCATATAAAGCATCCCTTTTACTTTTCAATAATCTTAAATTAGTATTGTATTCATTCAATCTGCACAACATTACAAAAATACCTTGATTCCAGTATGATCATAAGCTCTATCTATAAAACTGTATTATATAAAATAAAGGATATTACTAAAATTCATTATAAAATTCAGGCAACCTATAAGAAATTGAAATAGATAAAATCATTTCTCAAAAAGGAGCTAAACTATTTTGACACAAAAGGTGATTGTCTAAACTTGCATCAGAAGCAAATATAATTGAATTTGTATCTAAATAACTATAGAGCTAAAGAAGTTTACACTTTTATATTCTTCAGACGAATTATTTTGAAACCTTCTTTGTTATAACTATGAGAAAATGGATAAAATTTAAGTGTCTAAATTTGACCCGTCAAAGCCAATCATTTGAGATAGAGATTGATTTGGGCATATGGGAACCTTAAAGTTGTTGAATCCCCCAATCCTCAATCTCGATATAACTAACCGTCTTTTGATTTTCTAAAACTTGCTTCCAAATGTATCTTGTTCCCCTTTACAATAGCAGCAGAACCAATAATCTAGAGTCACTCTATCGTTTACTCATCCCCCTTTTCTTACATATATATATAACCTTGTAAATTCTAATATGTTCCATCCATTATTCGTTTCTCTCATTTCCATCATTCTAAATTCTAGTCTCTGTTTGGTTTTTTTACATTTACTGTGTCATGAAGATCATCATTCCTTCATGGAGGTATAAGCTCTTTTCTCTGCCTTATCAGTCATTCCTACTTCCATTCTTATTCATGTTCGAACTCTCTTTTGTAGACGATCGAACTGAAGGTGGGGATGGTTGTCTTACACGAGAGAAGATTGAGGAAGTGCCTGCCAAAATTGAAAGGTACACACAAACGTGGCTAGATACAGAAAGGATTGAAGATCCTTAAAAACGCTAAACATCGCACACACCCCAACACAAATATCCATCAAGAAAAGTAAGAATTACAAAGCAAATGGAGAAAAACAGAAACAGAGAGAAAGATCCGACGATTAATATGAAATATAGGGCAAAAAAAGGGCATGGCGAAAACAAAATGATATTTGCCTTGCCTAAGCAGAACAAAATGGCTTTTGCAAGCTAGAATTTAACAATTAAATCCCAGAACCTCACAGAACAAGTTCTATCGGATATGCAACACACTGTAATTATAAGAACAAATTCTTTTGCTGATCAAGAATCCAGACAACAGTGAATAATCTTACACAACTCCAATTCTTTTATTCCAAACATATTGGGATAACTTACTTTTAAAGTAACTCAAAATAATTAACTACTTAGTTCTAACTTTTCATAGATCATAAGTAAATTTAGTTAAAGCTAAACTTCTTAAGCTTAGCAAACATGCACTAAATCGCACAACACCGGTATTTATACCAGTCTTAGAAAAAAGGACATGCAGATTAAAGCGTTTTAAAGCCGTCAAGCAAAATTTATACAATCCAAAAGTTCCTTTCAAGATTTAAATCAGAAAACCAACAGAACCATAAAAAGACAAATACTTCCTACCGTGGCGATGATCAAAAAGAGTAAAAACCATATCAAAAACTCAATTAAAAACCGAATTCAAACAACAATAACAATCAAATCATGTAATTGCAATTTGTAGCTCGCCTTCGATTGAAGTAAATGAATTATTGTCGTTGCTTTTTGTAAAGTTAGAGAGAGCTAGAAAACACTTGGGAGAATATTTGAGAAGTACCTTTGTCTGATGTCCTGCATACAACAAAAAAATATGTCACAACCTCAACCAAGCAATTCGAATAAACTGTACAACAATTTCACATGAATTAGAAAGCCAAAAGATAGTATTACATCT